TGCTATAGAAATAAACTGAATTGAAATTAAATTGAATTTATTCATATGGTGCCAAATCACAACACATGTCATCTGAAGGCACTTTATAGAGACAATTTAACCAGATCATCCAGTGAGATTGCTTCAAAGTTTTCTATGTAAGGAAAGAAAGCTGAGCAGGTACATTACAGAGCATCTGACTGTGCTTCTTTCTTTTCGTCCAGAAAGCAATAAAATCCTCTATTAGAAGTATTTGAATGAAGTGAAATAAGAGTTTATTTTGTTTGTCAAGCTACATATGATCAGTGGAAGCTGTGACATTTAAAGACAGCAGGAGAGGCGGAGGGGGTGGGGGTAAGGGTGACAAACATGAGCCCTTTCAGTAAACAGTCAATGTTTTGCTGCATTACTCTACAATGCAACTTCTCTCCATTCCTCCTCGCCCTCCCTCATTTCTCTCTGTGAGCAGGAATCTGCGCTCACTCTCACCGCCTCGCAGTCGTCTAAACTGCCACAGTGCATCTCTCTCCTCTATCAGCTTTACTTTCTCCCCAGTGAGGATGACATCCCCGGATTTGATGAACCAGCAAAGCTCTCATTCTGGCAGGAGGCTTCCGAGGGAGACCCCACATGAACGGGCTTATGGGACGTGCGGGAGCTGTGCCTAAGGAGCTTCATAGAAAACCTGTCAGCTCCAGAAGACACTGGGTAAGTGCATCACTGCTGTCCAGATCAGGGAGTAAATCGAGGATGTTAGTGCCTCATTGCGTCTCCAGTGTCTCCTGCCTGAGTCTGTTAGGAATGTTATTTGATGGAGTCTAGAGTTGAGCTGTTGTATGGTGATGAGCTACTGTAACTCTGGTTGCACCGAGCTATGCAGCAGCTGTATCTCATTGAGTATGGCTTAGCACTATCCTTGGTCACGACACTAAAATGCTCTGCCTCTGTTTGGCTGCTTCTCCTCACTCTGGATCACACAGATGGGCATCACTCCCTCAAAACATGCTGTAACTTTCCATTTCTGCAGGCACTCACAATGTCTGAACCGAGCTTTCATTTCTCTGCAAAAGGATGATCAATGCATGCCAGAACGAGGAAGTTCCACCACAAAGTTCATGTGATGTTAACGTGCACCGAGCAGGGATGTGTCAGAGGATTTCACCCACTTTGGTTTGGGGCTTAAGAAGTTGAAGTCCACAGAGTCTGGGAACAGAGAAAAGGATTAAAAAAAAATCACAAAGTCAGAAAAGAGAGAAGCACAACAAGACAAGGACTGTAGCTGGAGAAAAGTATCGCTATGGAAACAGCAGGCAAGGGAAGAGGAGAGGTGAAGAAGGCTTGCTGGGTTTTTTTTTCTCTGGCTTCTGTTCAGCTGGATCAGGAAATACAGTTCTAACACACTGGAATAATTTGAAATCTAGCTAAGTCATTTTTTTCTTAAAATAAGTGCATTTGTTCATGGATTGAGGAGGTAAAATACAATTTTTCCAATAGAACAAGATAATTTACATTTAAAGTAAGAAAAAATGATTGCATTGTCTTATTTCAAGTGCATATTAAAGTAGTAACGAGTAAAAATACTCATTCCATTGGCAAACTGTCTGATTTAACTACTCAAATTAAGGGTAGATACACTATATTTAAGATTTTCTTAATTATTTGCTAGATCATTTTTCCAGTGCAGGACCTGTTTCCACACTAAAAACAATCTCCGCTGCAAAAATAATCAAGAAATAAGTCAGAATGTCTCAAATTTAGTGTATTTACCCTTAATTTGAGGAGGATTATGAGGATTTGTTCTCTGCAAATAAGGTAATTAGGTAATATACAGTTGAAATAAGACAATTACATTTTTTTTTCTTATTTTAAATTGTCTTGTTCCATTTGCAAAGTGCACTTAATTTAAGAAAAAATGACTAGATTTCTAGATTTTTTTTTCCCATTGTAAATCTAAATAAGTATTTTTTTAAGCGCATTTGTTCTTGAATTGAGGAGGTAAGTGAGACACTTTGCCAATGGAATAAGACAATTTACATTTAAAATAAGAAAAAAAACAATTGCATTGTCTTATTTCAGTTGCATATGATCTAATTATCTTATTTGAAGAGAAAAAAATACTCATTCCATTGGCAGATCATCTTATTTACCTGCTCAAATTAAGGGTAAATACACTAAATTAAAGAAATGTTGACTTATTTCTAGATCATTTTTGCTGTGCATATTTATTACAAAGAACAGAACAAACATTCACTGCAAAAACAACCTAGAAATGAGCAAAACTGTTCTTAATTAAGTGTATTTACCATTAATTTAAGCAGGTAAATAAGATAATTTGTCAGTATTTTTACTCTTAAAATAAGGTAATTAGATCATATGCACTTGAAACAAGACAAGGCAAGTGTTTTTTTTTCTTATTTTAAATGTAAATTGTCTTGTTCCTTTGGCAAAGTGTCTCACTTACCTCCTTAATTCGAGAAAAATTTGCAAGAAAAAAAATGATTAATTAGATTTAAAATTTTTGCAGTGTTCCACCATAAAATACAGCAAAGATTGGAGTCAAACATTCAGTTATTTAGGCAAAGCGTTGATCCACGTCAGAGATGATTGAATAAAAAGTTTAATATTCTGATGAATACTTGCAGCTAAACCAAGATGTCTGCTCATTCATCTCAGTTCATCTTTAATTCAAGCTGACTTGTGAAAAACAACACTAAAAGCAAGACATCCACCTGAGTACCATCTGAGAGCAAACCCGACGCTCTGCTGAACCACTCAGCTTTCCTGGCATGAACGAGAGAAAGATCTTCACTGCTGCATGTCGGCAAGTGGCGTTCTCCCCGAGTGCTTCTCCAGAAGCCCACACCGACCCTCTGTCATCAGGGTTTGTGATATAATGACAGGCTGGATTTCTGAAGTGCTTGTCTAGGTGCTCTACATACTGTTACAGACCGTGATATGCACTCAGCCCACCGCTATAATAATAAATAATGCTTCAGTGTTTAAATATTCAAGCGTTGGTCTGCAGCACAGCCAGGGCTCAGTGGAACGTCACTCCGGTCCCCCTCCACCTCATTATGCAGGATGAAAAAGAGCACAGTCACTGGAAAGTTCAGGGAGATGAAAAGTCAGTTAGCTGTCCTTTCCATAACATTGATTCCCCTTTATATTATGTAAGATATTTCTCTTTTATCTTACATGTACTTTAGGAAATATTGCATTAATTGGATTAATCATGACTAATTGATTATTGAAATAATTGTCAACTAATTTAGTAATCAATTAATCATTAATTGGAGTATATAGACTGTAAAACATGCCTTTAGCTGACAGAGGAACCCACTTAGAGCAGGATTTATACCAAGGTTGTATAAACATATGTAAACATTTTGAATTCAAGATTTAAAAAACAAAACGTTTTCGTCTGTCAAGAACTTCACAGGTGGAAAAGTTTTAGTTTCTTTAAAATATTCTTTAAAGAATATTTGGCTATACAATTATTTATCGATTAATCAAATAAATAATCGGCTGATTAATCGATTTGCTAAATAATCATTAGTTCTAGTCCTTAATTTAATGAAAACTTAAAAGCGATTTAATGGATTTGAAGTTCTTATTGCCCAGAATATAAAACCTTTCATCCTGTTAGCTCTTTATGGAGGATCTCGTGTGTAACATGCTAACAATAGCAGGTTAAATAGTTGAGTTTTCTACTCAAACAGGCTGTTAAGAGGCAATGAGCTTTTAAAATGTTAAAGCAGCAGCACCTACACTGCAAAAACAATCTAAAAATGAGTAAAACATGTCTTAAATTAAGTGTATTTACCCTTAATTTGGGCAGGTAAATGAGATGGTTTGCCAACGGAATGAGCAATTTTACTCTTAAAATAAGATAATTGGATAATATGCACTTAAAATAAGACGATGCAATTGTGTTTTCTTATTTTAAGTGTAAATTGTCTTGTTCCATTGGCAAAATGTCTCTTTTACCTCCTCAATCCAAGAACAAATGCACTTATTTTAAGAAAAAAAGACTTATCTAGATTTGGATATTTTCCAGTGTAAACTGAAGGGTTGTTTAGGGACTAGCTGTGCAAACTGTTCAGAACCAGAGGTTTGGGAGAATACCTCAATTTTAGTCAAGTAAGTGTCAGGGATAGCTGAGGTTTGAGGACCCAAATGCAGAGACAGAGAGGCTGAGGAGATTTCTGGGAGTTTTAATGGGGCAAAAACAGTAAACAAAGGCAGGAATCCAAAAATCCAACTAATAATGGAAAGCAAACCAGAACTAAAGAGACATCTGGGGGAAACCAAACACGAGGAGCCAGGGAGAGACGAGGAACATAGACCACAGCATGGGAAGACAGCAAAGACAAGGAACCAACAAAGAGTGAGAGCAGAGGGAGAGCATATATAGGAGAGAGAGACAAAGGGAGGGCTAACGAGCTGACAAGGAGCAGGTGTGAGAGGAGACAACGAGGGAGCCAAGGGGAAAGGAACACACACAAGATGACAACAGAAAAACATTAGAACTAACATAAATCTAGAAATTACAACAAAGCTGGAATTAAACCAATAAAACTAGAAAACAAGGAGCAAAGTAAAGAACAACAGAACCAAGACCATGACAGTAAGAGTACACTGGAAAAAATCAAAATCTAGATAAGTCATTTTTTTCTTAAACAAGTGCATTTGGTCTTGCGTGTAGAAAGTAAAAGAGACATTTTGGCAATTTACACTGGAAAAAATCGAAACCTAGATAAGTATTTTTTTTCCTAAAGTAAGTGTATTTGTTCTTGGATTGAGGAGGTAAAGAGACATTTTGCCAATTGAACCAGACAATTTACACTTAAAATAAGAAAGTACGATGGCATTGTCTTATTTCAAGTGTATTTTATCTAATTATCTTATTTTAAGAGTAAAAATACTCATTCCATTGGCAAACTATCTCATTTACCTACTCAAATTAAGGGTAAATACACTTTATTTAAAACATTTTTACTTATTTCTAGATTGTTTTTCCAGTGTACATTTAAAATAAGTAGAATTGCATTGTCTTATTTTAAGTGCTTATTATGTAATTATCCTACTGTAATTTAAGACTAAAAATAATCATGCCATTGGCAAACTATCTCATTTACCCACTCAAATGAGGGGTAAATACATTTAATTTAGAAAGAAGTCATTCAAGAAATACCTCAAGTATAAGTTAAAAAGTAGTTGTCAAAAATGCCACATCAACTACGCAGTAATTTTGGCCTTTTAACATCATATTCAATGTTTAAATTATGTAATCAGACAAAGAGTGCAATTCTCATATTTCAACATATATTATCTTTATATACAAAATAGTTCGTTTTTGCAGGAGAAACAATTTTCCACCTCCGTTTTTTAAGGTATACTTATAAAAGCTCTCGTTATAGTAAGTGATCCACTGCAAAAATGTTAGAAATAAGAAAACATTTCAAAGATTAAGTGTATTTACCATTAATTTGAGCAGGTAAATAAGATTATTTGCCAATGGAATTAGTATTTTCATCCTCCTGTAATAAGATGATTAAATGATATGCACTTGAAATAAGACAATAAAATAGTTTTTCTTATTTTAAATGGAGATTGTCTGGTTCCATTTGGCAAATTTTCTCACTAACCTCCTCAATTCAAGAAACAATATGCTTATTTTATAGAAAAAAATGACTTCTTTAGATGTC